TCTCTCTCTCTCTCTCTCTCTCTCTCTCTCTCTCTCTCTCTCCAGGGTTCCTCTGTGTTGCCCTGGCTGCCCTGGAACTCACTCTATAAACCAGGCTGGCCTCAAACTCACAGAGATCCACCTGCCTCTGCCTTCCAAGTGCTGAGATTAAAGCTACGTGCACCCCTGCCCAGCCTCTGTGGTTTTTCCACCCTGCCTCCTTCACCATCAAATGCCAACAACCCCCCCCCACTATGAGAAGCACTCTCTCATTGAGGAAACTATAACCAACCCAAACTGCCTCATCAAAGGATCTGTCCTCCAATCACAGCTCTGAGACTGTCTCCCATCCCTCACTCCCTTGAGCTTGTTCCAAGTGAAATACCCAGCCCTCGGGCTACCTTAGAGAGTAGAGTGGACATTAGCACCCATGTGCTCACCACTGAGGGCACATGGAGCCCTCAGGGTGTGCCATGGAGAGGGGATGAAGCCAGGCAGGAATGGAAGAGACTCCTGAGTTCTCACTAGTCATGCTGATTTCACCTCTTTTCCCAAGTTTCCTCAACTCTAAAACAATAGGCTGTGACCCCATGTTTTCTAGTCTCTTCCAAACCCAGTATCTTTTAAGACTAAGAATGGATTACCTCAAGCTTAAGTTTCTTTGTAGTGACATTTTCCCTCAACTGTTCTTTGAGACCAAGCCACGTCTTAGCTGGGAAACATTGTAAGGCCTGAGACCTTGACCAAGTATTTTTCCTTGAGTGGAACCATTTTTTAAATCAGCCCCTTTAAGGCTATAAAACCACCCTGAGAATGGGGAGCGGCTACTAGTCACTCGTTTTGCTGGCAAGTCAAAATGAAAGGTCTTGCCAATCAACTGTCATAGAAAGTAAGGCCAAGGGTCATACCACCCACAGTGAGTGGGCAGTCTTACATCTTCTGCAGTTGGTTGCAACTTTTGTAGGGTGGATGCCCACTCTAGAAATGAGGAGAATGGACATGAAGCTAAAGACATCTCAGCTGTGTGCTCTTTTGAACTAGACACAAAACAGGGACACAGACACTATCTCCAATCAAACTCCCAGGAAATAGTTTATGGCACTAATGATGATTTAAAGGAGATATGGAGACAATAAGAGAGTTAATGAGGCTAGAGAGATCAGAGGTTAAAGTGTATCAGCTACTTTTCCAGAGAACCCTGGTTCAATTTCTAGCATCTACATGGCAGCTCACATGTAATCCATTGCCACCTTCTGGCCTCCATAGGTGTCAGGCGTGCACATGGTGTGTAAACATACATGTAAACAAAACATAAAATAATACACATAAAATAAATAATTTTTAAAAGGAAAATAAGGACCCTCATAATAAAGAGGAAGGTTGGTAAAGCAGTTCAGCTCATCTTATACTAAGGAAAACAGGTAGCTTGAAAGAACTGGGTAGACATGACAGGTTTTAGACAACTGCCACCAAGCCTAATGACCTGAATTCAACTTCCTGGACCCATATGCTTGAAGAAGAGAACTTCAATGTATGCCCTGGTATGTACACACACACACACACACACACACACACACACACACACACACACACAAATAAATAAATTACAATTTTAAAAACAAATCAGACTGCTGGGTGTGGTGGTGCATACCTTGTAATCACAGAGGTAGGAAAGTAGGATTATGAGTTGGAGGCTAGAAGGCTGTCCTGGGCTACATAGCCAAATCCTGTCTCAAAAAAATCCTTCGAAGATCAAGTTCTCACAGACAATTTGAACATCTATTTATGTACCAAACTATCTTCATAACTGGAGAAGCCTGCTGAACTGTACAAGGAAATACTAAGAGGCTTAAAGAGAAAAAAAAGATTAACAGCTCTAAGAATTCTTTAATTATGAATAAAAACAAAATCTGATATGAGAGGTGGCCCACAGAAACAGTAAGGTGAGAATTCAGAGATTTCACAAGCCAAGTCTACAAAGAAAAAGATTTTCTTTCCTTTGGTGAAGAACCTAAAGTCCAGTGGTTACATGCTGCAGTTAGTAGCTAACAACAGTTGGACTGTAACAGTAATTGGTATTCAGTGACCCAATCTTCACTCAAGTACTGAAAATGAACCCCAAGTCAAGGGGAGGGTGGGATGTTTTATATCCTTCTAGTATAAAACCAGGGAGCGGGGCTTGGTGATACACTGTATAATCCCAGCACTCTGTAGATGGATGCAGAAAGGATCAAGAATTCAAGGCCAGAAGGGGCTATGTGAAACTCTGCCTCAAAAATGTGGAACAGGGCTGGGAAGATAGATGTTCAGTGGACAAAGTACTTGCACAAGCGTGAGGATGGGAATTCAAATTCCCCCCACCCCAGCCTTTGTGGAACTGGCATGGTGGTGAACACCTGTAATCCCAGGGTTCCTACACCAAGATGGGGGCAAAGGCAGGAGAATCTGGGAGCCTGAAGTCCAGCTAGCCTGGCATATGCATTAACAAAGCAACAAAAGACCCTCTTGCACACAAGGTGGAAGGTGAGGACAGACACCAGGTGGTTTTTTGTTTTGTTTTGTTTTTGTGCACCATGGCATGTACACACACACACAAACACACACACACACACACACACACACACACACACACACACACACACACACACACTACCACCACCACTACCCCACCATTATCCACATGCATAAATGTATACAAAAAATAAAAACTAGTAATTAGTTAGTCCTGGGGCTGGAGAGCTAGATTGGCTCAGCAGTTAAAGGCACTCTCTCCTCTTGCAGAGGACATGGGTTCGTTCAGTTCCCACAGCACACACATGGCTGCTAACAGCCTTCTGTAACTCCAGTTCCGAGGGATCCTGTGCCCTCCTCTGGCCCCCTCAGGCACTGGGAACATATGTGGTACACAGACATGTTCAGGTAAAACTCTTACACAATAAAATATTTTAACTCTTTTCTTAGAAGAGTCAAAGATCAATTATAATAAGTAAAAGCAAATAAAAATTTTTACCAAACACTTCCTAAAAACTGAAACTGGTTTTGGAAAAATGTACTTATTTTCATCTTTTTGGTTGTGAGCCTAGCCTTTAACAGCTGAGCCATCTCTCCAGGCCTTACTCATTTTCATAACTGCCCTAAAATGCAACAATAATGGTCTATCCATAGAAAATAAGTTCTTATCCTAACTGCCTGGCCACACTGTAACTTCTGTGGACTAAAGTACTTTTGCCTTCCTGGGCCCTTTCCTCTATAAAAATATGTTTTACATGCATTTGATAATTGTGCTGGTGACTCTCATTTCTCTCGATGGTTTGTACTGAGAAAAACCTGTCAGGGAACTGACTCCTTTCAGCCATGCTTGGAAGAGAATGTTGGTGTTATAAGGCTCAGAGACCCAAGAACTGAAGTCGCATCACTCTTGGGGACCTCTGGTCTGCTTTCAGATGAGATGATGGGTTCCATTTCAATTTTTTATCTGGAATATAATGCCCACAGTTAAGTCCCTCCATGACAATAACAACATGGTAGTTGTGTGTAGTAAGGAAAGTTCCGCATTGGGAGCCAAGTCGTCTCAACTCAGCTCTGTGACTGAGGATCTTTGCAACCTCCCACAAGGCATTGTATTTTTTGCTTCATTGTGAAAATGGAGGGGGCAGGGCAGAACCTGGTAATCCCATCACTTCTACTTTAAAAATATTTTATTGCATTCTTATATATTTATTTTATGTGTATATTGTTAGTATTCAGGTATCTGTACTGGCCTGACCTTGAGGTTCTGAAAGGATACGTCCTCAGCTGCAGTCACTAAGAGCACCACCTGTGCACATTCACTACATTCCCTTTTAAAAGGGCCCTGCCCACTTCCCATTTCTCTGTATGCTTCTATGCCTGTCTCTCTGTCTGTCCCCCTCCCCCCTCTCTATTCCCTTCTGCTGGTCCTGTCCCCAGAAGCTGGTCTCCCCCTTTCCCTCCCCCTTTTCCTATTTTCCTTTTCCCCTAATTTAAAAAGAAACCCTCCACATGAGCTCTGTCGAGTGGACTCTCTCTCTCTCTCTCTCTCTCTCTCTCTCTCTCTCTCTCTGCTTTTTTTATTACTGCACATATGAAGGGCATACACAAGCCATGGCACAAGGATGGAGGTCAGAGGACAACCTATGCCAGTTGGTTCTCTCCTTCTACCACGTGGGTCCCAGGAATTGAACATACCTATGACCTGGGGCAGCTCAGTGAGCTTTAGACTCAACCCCAGCAACTCTTTGCCTTAGGAATTCTGTCATGTGAGAGACTAGGTTCTTTTGAAGATTCTGTGTAGACTTTTCAGTTACTTGAAGCCAAAAAGCATTCCTAAACCAACTAGGATTCTAACATGCTTACCACAAAAAGAAGTCGTGGCCAGTCGGCTTCTCTCCAGGGGAGGCGCCCATTTACTCCACATCCCATGGCAGGCTGGGTAGGTCACACCCTGGCAGAAAGATTAAACATGGATGACTAAATTTTATTCCCAGTTCCTTTCTGTGTTTAAAGTGAAAATGCCACTGCTTCACACAAGTCACGATATAAAAATACAATTTGTATACATTATCAAATACAAAGCCTAACTTCCTCTCAATTTTTTATGTTGAAATCTAATCCCCAGTGTGGTGGTATTTGAATGTGGGCATTGGGACTACCAAGGGCACAAAGGTGGGAGCCTCATGAATAGAATTAGTGCCCTTACAGGGGAGCCCCTGCGGCACAGCTGATGTGAGAACAGAGTTGACTGTCAGTCTACAACCCAGGAAGCAGGCCCTCATCATCACTGGCTGTGTTGGCAACACAGGTCTGGGACTTCCTGGCCTCCAGAGCCATGAGAAATGAATGCCTGTTGTCTGTGGTGCTATGTTACTAACACCTAAATACTAACAGATTTTGATTTTTTTTAATTATTTTTTAATTTAACTAATTTTGACTCATAACACAAATCAAAAATAGAGTTCAAATGTACATATGGAGGAATGTCAGAAAGATACTTATATTTATCTATATCTATATTTCACATTATTAAAGAATACGGGTGTAGGAAGTGACTTACAGAGTCAGCCAACATATCTCCTCATTTCCAGGCACAGAATCTGAGGTTCAGATTCATTAAGACTGGGTTTTAGCCTTGGTCTTCATACCCATGAATGTCACATCAGTAGCTATTGGAGCACAGTGTATACCATTCCAACAGGACCAAAGTTAAGTTGGAGACTTAACAACAGTCTAAATTTTTCTGTCTTTTCTTCTTACAGAGGGTAACTAGGGACTGAGCCTAGGGCTTTGCACATCCTAGACATGTATTTTGTCACTGCTATACCCTTAGCCCCTTTAAGTTTATTCTGCAACAGGGCCTCTCTAAGTTCCCCAGGAAAGCTTGAAACTTGATATCCTCCTGTCTCAGTCCCTTCAGTAACTGAGATTACAGGCCTGCACTACTGAGCCCCACTACATTCTTAATTACTGTTAGAACATATACGTCTTATATGTTTTAGGTCAAAATGTAACCATCAAACCCAATCCGTGTTTTAAAGATGCAAAAAGGGGGTCCCATAGAGAACCCTAAAAACTGAGCAAAGGGGATCTTCTTCAAGAGCTGAATGTTCTAGAACACCACACTTTCTCTGGCAATGTGGAAAAGTGTAAAGAAAATGTCTCTCCTACCTCCACCAGGCCCTGCAAAATCCTCACACACATGACACAGCCATAATGTACCCGGGCTGCAGAAGGGATGAATATGTTCAGAGTTGATGTCAAGAATATAGCGGCTCCAAAGACCCTAGGAAACCAGAGCACTGTATTATTGGACAGGATGACGATGGTTAAAGTACTGCAGCTAAACATCAGAAAACAGCTTAAAGGTTTATGCAAGATCATGATGGGAATGAAGAGAAATTAATTCAGAGAAATAAACAGTGGACTAGAATCTGCTATGTCCCAAGCTAGTCTCCTGAGATGCTTTGATTCTCAACTTCCAGTCCATGGACCATATGTAATCACATCCATGAAGCACAGGGTTGTCCAACCTGTATGATGCCCTGGAGAAGGCCACAGGATGACTGCCAAGGTAAATTACACAGAGACCCATACCCAACCTGGGTTCATCCAGGCAGGCGACCCTTCCTACTTGTGACTTCTGTATGTTTGCCCAGAGTCTCTGGGAAGGAAAGAAGAAAAGAAAAGCAGGTACTATTTTCTTTTAGGCAGACACACACACACACACACACACACAC